TTATGTAACTCATGTCTCCTTTTCAAAAAGAATTTTAATACTTCTAACATGCACAAAATATAAATTGGAGCCCTACTCCTATTTTTCTGCTTTCTAAAGCATAATGGATTTTTTCTGAAATTCACTTCCAGATGAATTCTGGCTTTGTGTGTGTGAGAGAAAATGAGAGAAGGGAAAATACTTCAAAGACAAACCCAGGGAACATAATCATTGAACCATGTCAAGATGCTCTGGTTTTGTTGTCAAAGTGAACCCAGAGTTCCTTTTTAGGATTTCGTTTAGGACTGAATCAGAAGATTGATGTTCCAGAGAGTGATTTGTACCCTTTAAAAAATTATTATTGGGGCTGGAGAGATGGCTCAGCAGTTAGGAACACTGGTTGTTCTTGCAGAAGACCTGGGTTCAAATCCCAGAACCCACATGGCAGCTAACAACTGTCCACAACTCTAGTTCCAGGGGATCTGACAGCACTTACCTACATGCATACATATAAAATAAAAATAATAAAATATTTAAAATATTATTATGATGATAATTATTGTAATTATTGCTGTTGTTTGGTGATAGAGCCTTACTAGTTTAGCTTATTCTGGCCTTGAATGCAACCCTCTTGTCCTATCTCCCAAGTGCTGGAATTATAGGTTGCACAAAAAAAAAAAAAAAAAAACAGAGATTTTGATTTTAACATACAAAAGAGGGGAGCACTAAACCGGCAATTCTGTGATGTTGGGTACATATGTGTAGTTAAATGATTACTGTAGCCAAACAATATTGTACTTGAAAATCAAAGTGATATGCCCGTGATCTAACATAGTTACCGTTTCTTCTTTTGGTGTTAAGAACACCTAAAAGTTTTTTTTTTTCACCAAATTCCAGAAAACTATATAATGAACTGTAATCATCATGCTGTGCATTAAATCTTCAGGCATTTTCCGCCTACTTATGGGCAAGTCCACTCCAACTCTGACCTGTTTTCTCCATTCCAATTCTCATGTCTTTGACTTTCTGTTGGTTCTTCAGGCTAGGAGGCATACATGTCAGTAGGGGGCAGTCTCTGAAAGCAAAATCCATACAGCGCACTTAACTGTTAGAATCGTTTATCATAGCCTGCTTCTGCTTTAAATAATCCAGCAGATGAGAATTTGTGATTTTAAAAAATTGAGTATGCATAGCTATAAATTACAAATAATCTGTTTACAGACAAACATGCACATTTATTTTTAGGAGAGGGTAGTAATGAAAAGGCAAACTAAGATTATTTAAAGTTAGAGATGGATTGAAATGAGTAAAATTAAATTTGTTTGGTTTTTAATGTTTGTAGTTATATCTTCAATGATTGTAACTTTGATTTTATTTATATTTATATTTTATATAAAATTTTTACTTATTGTTTGTCTTCATTTCATTTCATTTTGATAGGGTCTCACTATGTAGCACTAGCTGTCCTGGAATATACCATGTAGACCAGGCTGGCCTCACCTGTGTCTGTCTCCCAAGCACCTGGATTAAAAGTGTGTGCTACCATGTCCAGCTAACATTTAATATTTTAATGGCAGCTGAAACGGAGTTGCCAAGTCTTAGGGTTTACTACAGTGGGAACAATCTCTACCCTTCATGATATGTTTCATTAGAATGGAATGGTGAAGCTTTTGGAAAACTAGGCTGTCGCACTAAATTTTCCCCTTCCCTCTCTCTCATCCGCCCTCACTCAGGGTCTTGTGGCCCTGTGCGGATCGACAAACCAGCAAAAGGGGATGACTTGCAAAGAAACGGCTCCTCAACAACTACCCCCCCACCCCACCCCCATTGCTTTCGCGCCTGCTCCATCTAATCCCATGGTCTGCCCTCGTCTTGCCCTGGGGAGCCTGCAAGACCTGCAGGACTTCAGCCTGGCAGTTCTCTCCACAGGCCTCACTCTGGGAGTTCCAAAATGCCCATACTAACTCTTCTCTTTTCATCTCTTTTCCGCTCAGCTAACTCTCCTTCCCCTTGTGCTAACTCTCCTTCCCCTTGTGCATGCACACCTGTCCTTAGCCCTGCCCCTTAATGAGCTAGACCCCTCCTGCAAAGCATGGGAAGGAGTTGGAGCCAGGGTTTATCAGAGGAATACCCGAGTCACATAGGCCCCTGAAGGCTTGCTGCCTATTTTCTCCTTGTGGTTGATTCTTCTCCATCTGCTTGTCTTTTTGGTAGGATGGTCTCCTTAGTGCTCATGTAGACCTCATTCCTACTGAATAAACCTTTAATAACCATCAGTGTCTTTAAAAAAAATCTTAAAACAATCTTTTTATTCTTTGACAGTCTCATGCATACATACATTGATCATATCCACCAAGCCTTCCTTTGACTCCCAGTGCTTTTTCCTCCCACTTTCATGTCCTCACCTTTGCTTGTTTGTTGTTGTGTTGTTTTGTTTGTTATTGTTATTGTTTTGTAACCCATTGAGTATTAGTGCTGCCTGCTGGAATATTGACTGGTCTTGTTGTCTTGGTCTTGGGCAGGTCTTGGGCAGTTAACCATAATTGCAGTGAGTTTGTGAATGCAATGGCCATGTCATGTCCAGAAGACAGCATTTCACAGCACTCCTCCCTATCCTTTAGCTCTTACATTCTTTCCACCTGTTTTCCTGTTTCTTGAACCTTGTAGGGTAAATATGGATGTCCATCTAAGGCTAAGCACTCATGGTCATTTACTCTCAGCACTCTGACAAGTTATGAGTCTCTGCATTACCCGCTGTCCACTGAAGAAGAAGCTTCCCTAGTCAAGGTTGAGAACAGCACTAATCTGTGTGTATAAACATGAATATTAACCATACCTCTTTTGGCTGTCATGTATGGCAGTGCTTCCAGGATACATAATGTTTGACACCAGGTGGTGATACTTGTGATCACGTAGCTAGCTCAGGACCTAGCATAGTTACAGATGTACATACAGACCCAACAGGACTTTCTCTTGTTTTTATTCCCTCTTCACTCTGATCACAAACATAGAGAGCTGCAATTAGTTCCAAATAACTACGTCCTACTTTTAAAGTTTTGTTTGAAATGTTTCTCCTGTCTCATCACCCCTACACATGCGTAGCTACTCTGAATTCTCTTATTGCTTTTTTCTCAAGAAGTATCTTAATCATTCCCATCATTCTTCAGAGAAATATTTAAGAAACCAGATATTTTGCATTTTTTTTTCTTCCTCACTAGAAGGCATTCTTGTCATAGACAGAATTTGATTTGAAAGAAAACCTATACTATGCTACAGATGGCTTGTGTCCCTGAACTGTACCACAAGGAGTACCTGATTTTTGATGTCAGGAGTGGTGGCCCAAGTGTAAACAAGTACAAAGAAATGTTGGCTTTTCAGTGTTTTTTTGTTTTTTGTTTTTTTATTTTGATGGTCACAATTGCTACTCTAATTTTTGTGGAGGTTTGAGATTCTGTCACTGTAAAGATTTCATTATGAGGTAAGAGATAAGATTTTCTGACTCTGTGGTCCTTATTTCTGCTTGATTTTGCTGAAATGCTAAGCTTAGAATTTGTAGCAAGCCTAAAATGATCAGCTAGGAACAGAGCTGTTTCAAAACATGCAGACTTCTCCAGTTCTTTTCTGACTGGACCAAGCAGGTGTGCAATATGAGAGGGCTTCCTAAATGACTGCTAATTTCTGCTTCTCACTGAGAACCACTTCTCCAGAGAGACAGCTCAAGGACTCTCCCTGCAGTGGTTTTCAAAGAGTGTCAGAGCCATTGTGTTGCTGTAAAAATAGTGCAATCCTATCATCTAGTATCTGTACTTTTAACAAGGAAGTCCTTAGATTTGCAGAATTTCTTTTCTTTTTCTTTCTTTTTTCTTTTTTTTTTTTCCTTTTTATTTTGTTGAGATAGGGTCTCACTGTAGCCCCAGCTGGGCTGGGACTCAGTATGTGGAACATCCCAGGCTGGCCTCAGTTTCATAGAGATCCACCTGCCTCTGCTTTCCAAGTGCTGGAATTAAAGGCATACACCATCATACCTGGCAACTAGCAGGATTTTGATCACACAGATTCAATAATTATATAAGTCTCTCAAGTTGCATTCCTCCCATATGATGAGAGCATTGTCACAGTAAAGCCTGCTATTTTGTCTTTCTTCCTCAGCTTCCAGTAGTGGTTTTCTTTATAGATCCACTTTCCTACTGACTTATCACCCTGATGTTTGCTTACACTTCATCGTTTTATGCTCTGTGGTCCTTCGGACTTCAGGTATTAGTTCATAGTGAATCATTTTCTTAGCTGAAGATTCATCTAGGGCGACAACTAAGACATGGGTGCTTCTTGTGTGCCACAGCCCACCTAAGTCCTTAATAAATACAGGTTTCCATATTGTAAAAGTAATATTACTGAAAATTTCCTCATAGAGAATTTTAGAATGTAAATAGAATGCCTATTTCAATGCCAGATATCTTAAAAGAAAAACCACTTAAGTAGTTGCTATAACTCAACCACAAAGGTATTTTTCTCTATTAATTATGCCACATTAAGTCTATTTTCCTATTCTTTTTGTTTTTTTTCTTTTACTCCTTAAAACTGTTCACAGAAAAGCGTACATATGACACTCAATGATTCTTCAACTCAGGCCTTAATGTAAATCAACAAAAGTTTTTTTTAATTTTTTGGTATTTTTATTTTATGTGTGAGTATATTGTCTGGATGTGTGTAAGTGCACCTGTGTCGCACAGTGCCCATGGAGGTCTGAGAAGGGTGTCAGATCCCCTGGAACTGTAGTTAAGGATGGCCGTTTGCCGCCGTGTGGGTGCTGGGAATCGAACCCTGATCCTCTGCAAGAGCAGCCTGTGCTCTTACCCGCTGAGCCACCTCTCCAGCCCCAAATCAACAAAAATTTTAATGCAAGTAGAACAGTGAAGAGAAGAGAAATGAAAGAAAGCAATGCAAATCCTGTCTTGTCAGTGAATCAGTTGATAATCGCAGAGGTCAGGACTCTGCTGTAAACTAGTGAGCTAAAAGTGTTTGCGGAGAATTTACTGTGCTGTCAGTAAACAGTTTAATTGTGAACACTTGCACAATAGCTCTTGTTTTGTGTTTATGAGATTTGAGACATTCAGTGGGTCACTTACAAGGTGAATAGATGCCTCATACTCCAAAATAGGAATATTAATAAGGATCTTTTATTTTTTTGGAGACAAGGTCTCACTATTATCCTTGGCTGGCTTTGAAAACTTACTGTATAGACCACGTTGCCCTTGAATTCACTGAGATCCACTTGCCTTTGCCTCGCTAGTGCTGGGGTTAAAGGCGCCTGCTACTTGGCTTGCCTAAAGGGAGAAATTACATTTCTTGGGCTATGATTTATGAATACATATTTTGCATAACACTTAGAACCACTTTACGAGGAAGGTTCTCTTACTCCACTTTTATAGGAAATGGATAGAGAGGTCAAGTAACATGTCCCAGGTCCTAGAATTGTTAAGTAGTGGGACTAGGAGTAGACCAGGCATCTGGGCCCAAAGCCGCATTTTCACTGCTGCACAGTGTGTCATGTGAAGGACTTGCATTATTGCTTTTGGAGACTTGCTTCTGTTGCATATGGAAGCGTGTCACTGTCTTGATACTTTTCTGTTATAAGTTTGCCCATTTAAGATTTTATATTAACTGGAGTTTAGTTTAATTTGATTTAGTTATAAATCTTACGGCCATGGGGCTGGAGAGCTGGCTCAGTGGTTAAGAACACTGGCTGCTGTTGTAGAAGACCTGGGTTCAAATCCCAGTACCCACATGACAGCTAGTAGCTGTCCATAACGCCAGTTCCAGGGACTCCAATGCACTCTTCTGTCTTCTGCGGGCATTGCACGACATGGGTGCACTTAGATACATGCAGGCAATACACCCATACACATAAAATAAAAATAATTAAAAAAAATTTTAAATAAATTTTATGGCCAGTTTTATGCAGTTTGCTTCTGCTCTCACTCTTGCCCTTTCAGGCCTTTCTGAGCTCAAGGATATTGAAACAGGAGTGCAACATATTTTAGCAGACATGATTGCTAAAGACAAAGATACGCTTGACTTCATTCGAGACTTGTAAGTAACTTTTTTTGTAGCTTTCTGCTTTGTGAGGCTCCTGCTGTTAAGGGTTCTGTGATTAGTGCCAACACCAGTGTTCATTCAAAACCTGGTTTTCAGAATTTTTTTTAGTACCAGAACTCTTTGTTCAAACAACAGAACCCTAACACATAAAGCAGATAAATGTTGGTTTAATTGGATCCTGGGCAGGGAGCCTGGAGCTCTGCCTGCTTATCCTCTTTCTTCTGAGACACTTGAATGGAGGACTCTGACAAGTCCAATTTAAAAGGTAATGCTTTACATGGTGTGTAGGAGAGTTTCATGTTCATTTAGAGGAGGTGGCATTGCTTTCTAAATATGTTGTTTATGATGTGTGTTGCTTCATTGTATAATACTTCATTTCTGATATTTGTTGTATTATTTGCTTTTGTGGCATTGTGATGAACAGAACCAACTTAGAGGAGGAAACCTTTATTTTAACTCGCAGTTTCAGAGGTCTTAGTTCATTATGGTGGAAGATGTGGTGAAGCTGCTCAGTTCACAAAATGGCAGCCAGGAAACAGAGGGCGGGGAAAAGCAATGCTGGGCTGGCCTCTGTTTCTCCTTATATTCCACTGGTGTGTGGACCCTCCTTCCTATCTTATGAGACCGTGCTGCCCACGTTCATGGTGGTTTTTCCCTCCAGTTAGTTAATACTTTTTGGCAATGCTCTTACAGACCTGCCAGTGTCCTCGGTGTGCCTCCGTAATCTTAGGTGCTTCTAAATCCAGTCAAATTGAAAAAACTAACCATTACACCCGTGGTTGGGTTGCCTTGAAAATTCGTGATAACAGGTATGGACAGAAATACTGGTCTTAAGTGAATTTTACCTTTTGAAAAGAATGGCTTGGCCATGCCATCTCAGCCCAGTTTTATGAGAATAAAGTGCTTTTCCAGAGCCCACTTAGGTTTATTGATTGTGTCTCATTAAAAAAAAGAAGACATTAATTTAAAGCTTTATTTTTTTCATACTAGCTTTATAAATTGCCCTGGTACATCTTCATCCTTTTTCTCCATTATTTTTACCACTTAATTGACTGTGACTGCCTAATTCAGTGGTTGGGGAAGGATGACTAGATTATTGGTCTGATTGCTGTAGAAAATTTTGGTCTTTTGGTAGACCCTGTAGATAATATTTAACTTGGGCATTTTGGAGTGTTTGGGTTGAGATGTAAACTAATCTTTTATCTCTAGGACATACTCTAGCATGATAGTAATACTAGTTTCATATTTGGCAGTGGTTTAACTATCTTTTTCATATAACTTTGTAAAATGGAAAGTACATGTAAATAACTTTTTTAAAAAAATTGTGTTTCTGAGCAGGTGCCAACATAGATACATTTGTATCCAGTCATCTCTGGCAAAAGTATCCTCAAAAAAAGTAAATGAGAAAGACATTGGTAAGTTTCAGCTCTACCAGAACTTTTCATGCAACATAAGAAACATCCAGCATCATCAGGTAAATAAGGAAGCGCTTATGCATGCTCATAGTAATAACAATGAGAATGCTTTGGATTGGCTTACAATTTTATTAAGAATTTAAAGTTTTATGTCTACTATTTTCTTTTTTGTTTTGCATAAAAATCTTACAATATTGTCATTTTCCTAATTTCACAAATGGAAAACTGAAGACCGGAAAAATTAGTGACACTAAAAACTTTTAGCAGAGCCGACACTGTAATAACTCCTATCTCAGCCTTCTAATTTCATTTTTCAGTTTGTTTATTAAACATAGTCATAGGCTGTATACTTGGAGAATTAGGTTTTAAATAATATGTTGGGGGGAGAGGAGTTACAAACCAAAATTACAGTAAGACTGTACATACATAGTTATGGTAACCAGTGTTCTCAGTTTTCTTTATCTGGCTTTGAGCTGTGGCTCTTCATTCCAGTCTTACTGACTCCTTTTAACATTTCATGTAGGGCAGGTCTACTGCTGGCAGGCTCCTATAGATTCTTCTTTACTGTGAAGTCTTAATTTGTTTCTTTTTCTTTTAAAATTTAACTGTAGTAAAATATACATAACACCCTTAATCATTTTAAGCATATAGTTCGGTGTATAAATTTTAGTGTATTATATACCCAAATTTGGAACTTTTTTTGTTTTTGAGAAATCTGATGTCACTCCAATTTTCTGTCTTCTAAAAATGCTGAAGCTGTCCTATGTTATTTTATTCATTGTCTTTAGTGCTTTTAATGTTGTTTGGGGAGGGGGAGATTTGAAATCACACGATTGTTAGTATTCTCTAAATCCTATCTGCACTTTGCTAAAGAGAGGCCAGTGGGAACTATTAAAATATTTTACTTTTTATGTGATATTTAATGGTCATCATTTAAAATGTAATTTAAGCTGGGCATGGTGGTGCATGTCTTTAATCCCAGCACTTGGGAGGAAGAGGCAGGTGGATCTCTGTGAGATCGAGGCCAACCTGGTCTACATAGCGAGTTCTAGGCCATCCAGGGCTACCGAGAGACCCTGTCTCCAACAAACAAACAAACAAACGGTAATTTAAAAACATGACACAAACATGAAACAACTTTTTCATGTAACATGACATTAAGAGTCTTCAATTATCACACAACTACTTCTTGAATATAATGTGCTGGGTATAATGTGCTGAGTATAGATAGAGAGGGCATACCCACTTCTCTTGAAGATTTGAAACAATTTACTGTTATATCTGGTTGTTTACTTTTGCGTGCACTCTATTTGTCGTATGCAATGAAACGTACTTTGAATAATTTGGAAAAATGTAGGTAAAGGGAATTTTACTTTGTAAATTGTACTTGCCTAATTATAGACTAACTACAAATACAGGATTATGAAAAACAATTTTTAATACTACCGGTGACAAGGGCTCAGTGTGTAGCTTTGGTAAAGTGGTTTCCTACAAAGTACATGGCCCTGAGTTCTGTCCTCAGCAACTAACACACACACACATACACACACACAAATAAATAAGCAAACAAATAAATACCAATGACTAAATTTACTAAAATTCCAGTTACAGAAATGACTTTGGCATCATATTTTGTTTCTGTTGTGTTTTTTAAAATTGAGTGCTTATTTAGCACATATCGTATTCTGACCTTGTGACTGAATTTAAGTTTATGATTGCTATTGATAATGGGCTTCTGGAAATGACAGTACTGAAACCTGAGAAGGCAGACTACTTTGGAAATGTCAGTTTGAAAACAATCCTGTGTTTTAAGAAAATTTTAAGTTCTTTTGGGCCTAACGGATGATGCTAGGTCATGGAGGTAGCCTTCTAGTACCTGTAGTGCTGAATCGTACTTGTTAGCCTCCATGTAAATCTGCCCACATATAGTACCCCACAGGGCAGAAGTGGATGAAATGATGAAAGGCAGTAGGAAAGGAACATTGCCTGCAGTTTTGACTCTGGCAATAGTTGGACCTGTTAATTCTTCTGGCTGCATCATGTTTCTTTCTTCTGCATATTGGTCCTTAGTGAGCTCTTCTAACACATGAATTTATAACTCAGTCTGTGTATTCTCCCAGGAGACCTTGCATTCCTGTTCTTTTTGTTGCTTCTTTCACTAATGTCCTGTGCTGTTCTTCGGTCATTGTCCTCACCACTGATTGCACAGTAGTTTTGCTTTATCCACTATTCGCTTTCAACTTCAGTTTCTGGTTTAATCTGTATGATGTCTCATGTTAAGAACATCTTTCTATTCTTAGTTTGTTGAGCATTTTCATTAGGAAGGGCTCCTGGATTTTGTCAGATGTTTCTGGATAGTGAGATGATCATGTGATTCTTTTTTATTTAGTTGATATAATTCAACATTAATTGATTTTGGGATGTTAAACCAACTGGGCCTTCCTGGAATAAATTCTACTTTATCCTGATGTATAATCCTTTCTATGTGTTTCTGGATTTGGTTTTTTGAGGAATTTTACATCTATATTACTAAGAGAATTACATCTATATTACTGACCGGTAGTTTTCTTGTGAAACCTTGTCTGTTTTTGTGTTGGGCTAAAGTAGGCCTTATAGGCCGAGTTCTCCTTCCTTTTGTACTTTTGAAATTTTTTCTAAAGAATTGGTGTTCATTATTTTTTAAACTGTAAAATTTCTAGATATCCTGAGCCTGGTCATTTCTTTGTGGGAAAATTTAAAGTATTAATTCAATATTCTTGCTATAGATCTATTCAGATTTTCTGTTTCTTTTTTAAATTTGATTTTGTTTCTGCCTTTTGAATATTTCATCCATTTTATCTTAGTCTAATTTGGCATAGATGTTGTTAGTATTATTCCTTTAATTTCTATAAGATCCATAGTTAATAGCCTCTCTTTTGCTTCTAATTTTGGTGATCGATTAGTCCAGCAAAAGGTCTGTCAAATTTTAAAGATATTTTTAAAGAATCAGTATTTGGTTTTGTTGATATTCTCACTTTTGCTTCCTATTCTTTTTAAAAATATTTTGTTATTTTTATTTTATGTGTATGGGTATTTTGCTTGTGTGGATAGATGTACCCATGTTGTACAGTGCCCATGGAGGTCAGAAGAGAGTGTCGGATTCCCTGGAACTGGAGTTACAGATGGTTGTTAGCTGAGATGTCAGTACTGGGAATCGAACCCTTGTTCCTCTGCAAGAGCAGTCAGTGCTTTTAACCACTGAGTCATCTCTCCATCCCCCTTACTTCCTATTCTTTTATTAATTTTTGTTTTATTCTTTATTTTCTTCTGTTTGATTGTTTTAGGTTCAATTTGTAATTCTCAAAGAAGGATTTTTTAAAAAAATGCTTTTAAAGAGTTGCTCTTTAAAAGGAGAAGGATATGAATTTAAATACTATTCCTGTTTGGTAACTTTGTGATCTGGGAAAGTTAGAAAAATTTTTATATCAAATGCCAATTACATACATCTCATTGCTCTCTGTAGGATTACTTGAATTATTGTATTTTAAGTGCTCAGATGGGTCCTATAATATATTAGTGCTTAATAAATGGTAAAAAATTATAGCTATTGAAGAGTCCTTTCAGTTTGCTTTTATCTTAATACAAATTATCTTTTCAATATTATAAAAAGTATATCCTTTCAATTTCTGGTGATAAAACTTTTCAAATAGTAGAATCTGAAAATGAAATTTTAGGTCACCAAGATCTCTATGAATATGACAGATTGACTTTGTACCTATATCTCATTTTGTAAAAGTTTGTTGGGATTTTCTTTGGGTTTATGGAGTGTATGTGTGTTTTTTACATGTTCATGTGGATGTATGTACTTGTGTATGTAGGTGCACATGTGTGTGTGTGTGTGCTTGCAAGTGGAAGCTAGAGGTTAATATCTTTCTATTGCTCTTATTTTATTGAGACAAGGTTTCTCACTGAACCTGGAGCTCATCAATTGTCTTCACTGGTTAGCCAATAAGCTTCAGGGGTCTGCCTGTCTCTTCCTCTTCAGTGCTGTCATTACAGATGCAAGCCATCATACTCTGCTTTTACGTGGGTTTTGGAATCTGAACTCAGGTTCTCATGCTTGTGTGGCAAGCATTTTACCAACTGAGCCATCTCCTAGCCCTTCTTATGTTCTTTATGAGAAAGATGGGTTACTTGAAGAAAGTGTAAACAAATTATTTTAATACTTTTTTGTACATTAAAATAAAGCAATATAGTTTTTGACTAGATAAGCACTTAATCTGTTTCATAAATGTAGACTGGTTAAATTTATCCTTGCTTCATGGATTATCAGTCTTTGATATGTTTGTGCTCAGATTCTGGCAATTAACCGTGGAGAGAATTTGAAGGTACTGACGGTCAAGATCAACATTCCTGATGGAGTCAAGAATGAATTCTGTAGGTGGTGCATACAAAACAGGTCTGTTCATATCTGTTGAATTTCCTTTCTAATATCCTGTGCTAATGCTATTGTGTACTGATATGTTAGAAAAGCACATGACATTGCTTCCCTTTTGTATTAAAAAAAAGAAGTATGGGCCAGAGAAGATGGCTTAGTGGGTAATGGTGCTTGCTGCCAAGCTTAATGACCTGAGTTCAGACCCTGGGCCCCACATGGTAGAGGGAGAGAACCAACTCTGAGGTTTGCACAATGACATCATAATCACTTGATATATTTCTCAGAATGCATCCTCTTCATTAGTTAATATACAGCTATACCTTGCTGTGCCTATTAGAATCTTTTATAATGAGTATGTTTTCCCTTGTGAAAAAAACAAGTAACAAATATTTTATATGTAACACATCTGAACTGTTTTACTCATTGAAGATCGAAAGAAAGTTATAATTTATATCTCAACAAACTATGCGTGATCTATATAAAATACTTGGCACATTAGGGCTAATTGAAATAAGGATTAAACTTATTGGCTATTTTAAAGAGCTTTTAAGCAATTTTAGAAATAAACTTTTCATTTGTTAATAAAACTTTTAGGATATCAGCGTGTATCTGTATAGCCCTTTGACTTTTAGTTTTAACTTTTTGAATATGTTTGATCCTTAAAACATTCTATTTGATTGGTATAGCAGAGTTTGTAGTTAGCATTTGTCCTTGAGAAAGCCAATGTGAAGATGTAAAGTGACTTCTCTTGCTGTTAGAAGTTGTAGATTTTGGATATATTCACTACCAGCTCCCTTTGGGAAAGCTTGCCAGGAAATCACTTGAAAAGTTAAATGAAATAAGTGCTTCAGGAATTAGGTCTCTTCTCCAACATAGTTCTTGTGTCGGTTCACATGGAGTTTTCCTAAAGCCAATTCTACCAAGGATTAATTTACTGAATCAGCAAATGATACTAAGCAAACAGCCATCAAGTAAAACCAGAGTGTAATGTTAGTCAGTATGTAAATTGCTCATGTCAGTTATGTTATATCCATGCAGTAGAATTTGTGAAGCTATTTTGAAAAAGTTGAGGTGAAGTTAAAAATTGAGACAAACATGTTAGTAGGTCAAAAGACAATTTTTTGAGGTTGAGGCAGAAGGATTTTGAGTTTGTGATCAGCCTGGGCCATGTAGTAATACTGTTTCAAAAAGCAGAACAAAACAGAACCCCCACAAAAAAAAAAAAACCAAAAGGTAATTTATAATAACTATTTAATAGTGTGATCTCATTAGTGATAAATCATGTGTTATGATATAATGATTTACTCCTTTGCTCTTGTATGAGATTTAAATTTTCTGTTTTATGTTTTTCTGTATAAGTATCATTTTTAATAATAATGTTTTTGAAAATTTCATACATTTATGTAATATATTTTGATCATATCTACCTACCATGTCCCTCCAACCCCCCAATACCCTCACCCTCTCTCCCTCTCAACATTGTGTCCTCCTTTTTTTGTTTTTGTTATTAATAACCATCTGAGCCCATTTAGTGCTTCTTATATGTGCATGGGCGTGGGGCCGTTCCCTGGGGGATGAGCAACCTACCAGCAGGGATGAGCAACCTACCAGCAGCCTCCTCAAAGGAGAGTGATTCCCTCTTCCTCAGCAAGCATCAATTGCTAATACCTTCTCCACCAAGGTTGGGGTCTCAGGAGCCCCCCTCTCCATTCATGCTGGCATTTTGACCTGTTCTTGTGCAGGTAACCACAACTGGTGTGAGTTGATATCTGCAACAGCCATGCCATGCCCAGAAGTCAGCATTTCACTGCTTACCTCCTCATTCATTTGCTCTTAGATTCCTCATGCCCGCTTTTCAGAAACATTCCCTGAGCTTAGGATGGAAAGGCCTAGGGATATAACATAGTTAATTCATCCACTGCTGAGCAACCACAGTTACTTAACTTGGCATTTTGACTAGTTATGAGCCTCTGCATTAACCACTACTCACCATGTAAAGAAGCTCTGACCAAAGTTGACAGCAATACAAGAGCAGGTTGTTAATATAACAACAGTGGTTGTCCCGCTAGGGGCTATGATCTACCCAGTCATGGGCTTTTGACCAGTTTTTCAGTACCAAACATGAAAGATTTTTTATGTGTTTTCATTTTCTTTCAATTCTAGGAATTTTTGAATTTCCTTCTTGATTTCTTTGGTCGACCCAGTTAATCATTCAATAGTATCTTATTTAGTCTTCAGGAGTTTGTATATTTTCTGTGACTTCTATTTCTGTCAATAGCTAGCTTCATTTTGTTGTAGTAGGTAGAATACAGGAAGTTATTTCAGTTTTCCTTTATTTGTTGAGTGCTGCTTTGTGTTCTGATATATGGTCAGTTTTGGAGAAAGATCCGTGGGCTGTGAGAAGAATGTATTTAGTGTTTGGGTGATATGTTCTATAGATATATGTTGGGTACACTTAACTTATGATGCCTTGTAATACCATTGTTTATCAATTTTATAAATGCTTATTTCCTGTATAAATAAATTCCATTAAAAACCAAATATCAAAGAGAAATCCTGGATTTAAAGCCTTTAAGAAACTAGGTACTTTTAAATTATGGTAAAATTAAAGCAGTTTTATGGAACCCTAAGTCTTGGGAAGCAGGTATATTTGAGTTTAAATTCTAATTACTTCTTACCCAGGTATTATTGGCCTGTTGCTTAGTCTCCTGTTTTGGTTTCATTATGCTCAAAATGTTGAATAATAACGTCTTTATAAATTTAGGAGAATTAAGTGATAGTACATGTAGTTTGGTAGCATGATATCCAACAGGCCTTTGATAATCTCTACAAAACAGTGGGATTATGACCCTAGTTCCCTCTTTATAAATATGTTAGGAAGTTGATTGTAACAAGCTGGAGACAATTTTTGCTTATTTGCCTAAAAGTATTCCTAGTTCCTTGTATCAGAGTCAGTTCTCAATAAATAAGCATTAGTTAGGTATGCTTTCCTTATCCTGTTATTATGCTTAGTAAATAATAGGGAATGGCTTTCCTTACGGTAGTGTGTGTATGCACATGTTTTGCAGGTACAGGTGCACTTGTGTGCACATGGGCCAGAGCCTCTTGTCAAGTGTCTTCCCCTCTTATTCTCCACTAATTTTTGAGACATGGTTTCTGACTTCACATCTGGTTCACCAATTCGGATAGACTGTCTGGCCGGCAGGCCTCAGGAGTCCTCTTCCCCAGTGTTTGGGTCATAGGCATGTACTGCCAAACCTGATGTTTTATATAGATGCTGGGGAATCTGAACTTGGGTCGTGACAATATTTTAGTTACTGAGCCATTTCTCTAGTCCTGATTTTCTTTATAATAATTAATTGTTTTTCTATGGGTTATCTATATTTTATTTTATTTGGATCTACTCCATTTGAATAATGTATAATATCAATTATCTGACATTATTACATGTCATATAAATATGGTATGTAATACTATTTTAAATTTTTGTTTATTTTATGTTTATGAGTATTTTGCCTGCATGGATGTAAGTGCACCCATGTCATGCATGCTCATGGTGGCCAGAAGAGGGAGTTGGATCCTCTGAAACTGGAGTTAGTAACAATTATAAGCTGCCATGCAGGAGCTGGGAACCAAACCTGCATCCTCTATAAGAACAGACAGTGCTTTTAACTGCTAAGCCATCACTCTAGCCCCTGGTAATGTAATTATTAATCAGTTGGGAAGTTTTTCTTCCTGTGATAACCCCAAGAGCTGAAACACCATTCTCATGGACTTTTCTGGAAAACTTTCTTTTTTCTTTTTTTCTCTTTGGTCTTTTTGAGACAGGGTCTACCTATAGCCACAGCTGGCCTGGAACCCACTGTGTAGACCAAACTGGCCTTGAACTCACGGAGATCTGCCTGCCTCTGCTTCTGAGCTGCTGGGATTACAGGCATGGGCCACCCTGCCAGTGAGAACTCCTTTCTTTAAACACATTTTAATGGCTGTACATGCTTGCTCAGTGATTTTTTTTCCTTTTTTTAAACTCTATCACTACTTCTTTCACCCTCCTCCTCCCTTAGGTGCCCATCTGTTTTGGTTGTGTGTTAGATTTGGGTATTTACTCATAACCTTGACAAATACGCTGCCTTTGGCAATTGTGTAGTATAATGAAGATGACACTGAGTAAATAGCTAAGAGTGTTTTGAGTTACACAGTTTGTGAGAATCCTAATGTATTTTGCTTGTCATATATGTAAGTCATAGAAAGAGAGAGGGGAGAAACAACATGAAATAAAGAAGGAGACACCACCATTATTTTATTGTATTTAAAATTTTTATTGTATTGTAAGAGTGCTTTGTCTGCATGTATGTAAGTGCACCTGTGTGTGCAATGCTCACAGAGGCCAGAAGAGGGCATCAGATCTCCTGGAACTGGAATTACAGGTGGTTTTGAGCTGCCATGTGGGTGCTGGGAACTGAACCCTTATCCTTTGCAAAAGCAGCCAGTGCACATAACCACTGAGTCATCTCTCCAGACCTCTAATGTAGTTTTAAACAGAGCAGTGCCATGATCAGATTACACTTTAAGGAGCTCACCCTTGTTGCAGTAGAGAATTATTTAGAAAGAACCATGAGTGGATGCAAGAGATGCCAGTAGCTAAGTGAGGGTGCTGTAGCAATGAGCAGTACACAGACAGACTTTCTGATAAGTAGGAGGCAGAGATTACAGAGGCAGGACAACATATCTCCTTAAACTGTGGGTGGACTGGTTAGACCCTTCCAAGATGAATGTACTATATAATTAGGGTAAAGAATGGGCTAAATGGAAATCCTGTTACTGTCTAATTACAATACAGAGACTCTTATTATTAAAAATAACATATAGGTCTAGGTCCGTTAGCAGAACAGTTTGGTTCCTCGTTTGGAATTGTGCATTGCTTATTCAAGGGATAAATGTGAAGAAGATTTCTGAGCTTGTCAGATGCTATAATGTTTGTGACTCCAATAATTCAAGTTTCTGCATTTGCTCTTTAAATAAAAACATGTGAGGGAATGATCTCAATGCTTCCCTATTCATGACTTGGATTGCATAATGATGGTTTCCTTTTGAGCTTGCTGAGTTTTGTGTCTTTGTGAGTTGATTTCTATTCTCTGAAATTGTGCAACTTTTTATGTAGTACCACGTTTAAAGAAAACTTTATCCTGTGGTAAGTTCTTTAAATATGGAGAAATGAAGGCTAGATCGAGATTTCCTATCTTTATCTTATCCAGAAGAAAAGGGGAAGGCTTTTTTTTTTTTTTTTTTTCCCAAAGTGCAGTGATTTTTCCACAGCATTGCTACTTTCAGTTAAAGGTTTACATGCTGTAAGGAATTTTCTGTCACCCACTTCTTTAAGAACTAGGCAATGGCTGTAACTACCTCTAACCAGAAAAAAATGACTATATAGTAAAAAAAATGACTATAAAGTTGAAAAACATGTCTGTTTTTTATTTTGCCGAGCAAAGCATATCCTTGTCAGAAGCATGCGGTTCAGGGCATAGTTCTTTTCAGTCGTTTTTTAGGACTTTCCTGAGCCTTGCAGGCTTTTGAGTATTGAGATTCTTGTCTCCATTCTGGCCTGTGCTGTATACATCTACCATAACATGTGTTTTGTATTGTGGAATTTGGGCTAAGTGAAGTCTAGCATAGGTTTTTTCAGATGTATGTACCTACTGAGTTAGAGGAAGAGTCATCAGAGTTTGAGATGGCATCCTATTGGGCAAGTGTATCGTATTACTTCAAGTTCAAAGGTATAGTAAGTAATAAGGCTGTGACTTCATTGTATTGTTTCAGGACTTTAGTATGGTAAGTGCTGTGAATAGATCCCAGGAAGCTAATGAAGGGGCAGAAATTGTTGTGTAAGGAATGAGAAAGAGTTTCTACAGGGCAGGAAATGGGGGGTAGCTGTTCCCTGCAGGACTGACTCCAGTGGCTTAAAGGTAGTCTGAGTGGATGCCATGAAGGAGTCTGTCAGTGCAAAATCCATCCACAGCTGTTTTCAGGGAGGAGAGTAGAACACTTCAAACTAAGCAAGGATCTTGTGACTTGAAAAAGACCACTGGTGGGTGGTGGGTGGCTTTAAGTGTATTGTTCATGGAATGAGTAGGTAATAGTAACAGTTTCTGAATTTTTTTGGAAAGCAATGGAGAAACCTCCATTGGAGGATAAAAGGAACAATCCTAGCAGACTTCAGACATCAGAAGTATATGTTAGTTAAACAAAACAAAAACAAAACACTCCATTAGTTTTCCCATGTCTGAACACTGTTTTCCTAGCCTGCTGTCCCATAACCTAGACCTATGTTCTCCTAATTTGCCAACCTCCATAGCATGGTGTGTAAGACCCTGTATAACGTGGCCATTAATACATTTTTTTAGTCTCATCTTCCTGAGTTGTTTCTGTCACATTAGGCCCTAACAGTGTAAACCTGTTTGTAGTTACTTGAATTTTCCTGCCTTTTCATGCCTTGGAACTTGTATGTGTGCTGAGGTTTCTTCCCAGGATGGCTACATTTGTTTTTCTTAACTGGCAAGCCATACTTCATTCTTAAGATCCATTTCTGATGTTTCTTTGGGAACATTTCTTGACATTGGATCCTCAAATTAACAACAGCGGCAATAGCAGTAGTGGCAAACGTTTAAGACAGAATGTATCAAAAACTGTTGCAGGTCCCTTACACATTCTAGTTTAAGGAGGTCATTACTGCTGCTTCCATTTTGCAGGTGAGGTGATTGCACAGACATGATTAAGGAAAACCCTGGAATGAAGTAGTAGGGCAGGATTAGAACCAAGGCCATCTGGCTCAGATCTTGCTTTTTGCTAATACATTATACAGCCCTCATCACTGCCTTTGAATGCCCTGTATCTTTATCTTTTTCCGTTTCTATTTTTCCACTTGTTGTTCCATATATTTGCCTATTTATTTAGTGACAATGTCTCGTGTAGCCTAATCCTCTTGCCTCCAAGGCACCACCATGCCTGTTTGTCTCTTTTAAAGTATGCTGCTTTTTAAAAAATATTTTACTGCATGACACGGGTGCACTCACATACACACAGGCAATACACTCATACACATAATAAAAATAATAAGTAATTAAAATATTTTATTTATTATTTTTATTTTATGTGTATGAGTGTATTGCGTGCATATTTGTAAGTGCACCCATGTCATGCAATGCCTGAAGAGGTCAGAAGAGGGCCTCGGATTCCCCTGGAACTGGAGTTATGGACGGTTGTCAGCCGCCCTGTGGGTGCTGGGAATTGAACCCAGATCCTCTGCAAGAGCAGCAAGTGCTCTTAACTGCTGAGCCATCTCTCAAGCCCTTGAAAGTGTGCTGCTTTTTGCCTCATTGTTTCCAAAACACTTAACAGAAACGTTTGAAGGGAGAAAGGTTTATTTGGGGACCAGGGTTTCAGGGGACTCTCAGTCCATCACCATGGGGCAGGCAGCACGGAGTTACTTCATGGGATGGCGGGAGTGTGAGGCAAAGAATTGTGACCTGGCCTCAGACTAGGAAACAGAGAGAACAGGCCAGAAGCAGGGACAGGTATAACCATCAAAGGTTCATAGCAGTGACCCTGTTCTGCCAGCCAAGCCTCACTTCTTAAAGATCCCACAGCTTTCAAAGTAGTGCCCAAACCCTGGAGACCAAATACTCAAAACACAGGTCTGTGGGGCAGCATTCTAGATTTAATACATGGTTTGTGCATCTAATTCTTCTCAGCTTCCTTCCTGCCTCTCATACCTTCAGGTAGGGGACAGTAGAGTAGGGGAATTTGGGCGGAAAAAGTGATATATTTTATGTCTTGCCTCAGAACAATTTTGTTCAAATTGGAAAACAAGATATATGTTGCTGACCTAACACCTTTGGAAGGAATTCAGTTATTTGCTACTCTGTAATCTCTGAATATTGCATTAATAAATGCTTAAATGTTCACTGAAATTTTACCTCCCCTCCTCAGTTAGGGGAATTTACCCTTAAGGTGTGTTAGGTAAGGTATGTGAGGGGCAGTGCAGAAATGCTGTGCGTGGATGGAAACATGGAGCAGGTAGGGTTGGATTTTTTTCTGGTGTGGAGCTGGTAGGGCTGGTAAGCTCTGTTTTCCTCTTCTGTTCTTTTGCCCGGTGTCCACTGATGGTTCTATGGTGGTTACACTGCTCAGTGTGTGCACATGCTGCTGGGTATAGCACTATGGCCTGGGTAGTAAGTTGGGTTCTGCTCTCCAGTGCCCATATGAGGTTCTGAAAGTCAAGAGACCCTGCCCCTTTATCATAGAACTGAAATAGCTTTGATTTTATAGCTTTTGAGCTAAAATGACTTCCATGAAGATTAAGCTCATTTAGATGATTAAAAAGTACTTCAGCAGGATCTGCTGTTTATTTTATAAATTTGTTTGCTTATTTTTAAATTAACTGCTTCAAACTTTTGGGTACCACTCCCTACTGTTGCCTTTATCTGGGGGCATGAGAGGTGGGGGGAAAGAGGACAAGAATTATTAGACACACAAGCCCTACTTTTAGTGATACACCCAGAGTATAAAAATAGACTACATAAGAGATAAAGATACAGAGAACTCAAAAGCAGAGAGCAAGCAGGGTCCATTTGGGATACTTGGGTTTTAGAGGAAGAACTTTTCAGTTGTGTGGGCTTTTTATTAATGAGTCATGTAAGATTTAAGTAGAAGTTTACTTCCAAGAAAAAAAAAGTGCCCAGAAACAAAGTAACAGATTGCCTGCTCGTCTCCTTTAACTCTCAGAGATAAAGCAATGGAAAAGAAGGGTACAGTGTGTGGTGCCTCCTGGTTGCTATAACAGAACACTATAGACTGGGTGGCATGAGCAAGTTTCTGGTCTGGGGAGATAGCTCAGTGGTTAAAAGCACTGGCTACTCTTGCAGAGGACCTAGATTCGATTCCCAGCACTCACATGGCAGCTAATAATGGTCCATAACACCAGTTCTGGGGATCCAATGCCCTCTTCTGGCTTCCACAGGCATTGCACAATATGGGTACGTTTACATTCATGCAGGCATAACATTCATGCACATAAAATAAAAATAAATTTTAAAAAATTATTTTCTCATAGTTGTATAGAGTGAGCTCCAGGCCACCAGCTAGTGCTTCATGGTGAGAGAACCTGTTTCAGAACACACACGCCCACACACACTGCCACACCGCCACACACCCTCACCCTCCAGATGTCACATAAAAACTTTCAGTCCGCACAGCCTTTCCTTTCAGATTTTGTGACTGTTGCTTCAGTGAATGCATCCCTCTCGCTGTTCCACACCTCCCTTTTTCCAGGTGTCCTTTCATAGTTTCATTATCATATCAGTTTTAGTGTGAGCTTTTGTTTTTTACAGGTGGAGGCCACGTGGCTTTGCAAGGCCAGAGTTAATGAAAATCTTACACAGTTCACTGGATGATTCTTTTAAACGCCTTATTGTTCCTCTTCTCTGTAGAGAGTTCAGGTATGTATCTTGTCTTGCTTGTGTACTGTTTATCATTATGAACTGAGGACTGATGAACCAAACCAAAGAACTTTGTCAACCACAAGGTCTTAAATTTAAACCTTGCTTTGGAGCTGTAGATTCACTCTGATGTGTAGATCTTAAAACATTCTTCTCAACTGTGATACACTTAAAATCTTGACCACTTACTATGTCCTTCCCTTTCAGTTCTGCAGTGCCAGTGTTGCAATTTGACAACAAAGCCAAACAAATGATTAGAAGTGATTGGTTTGGAAAAAACAAACTAGAAGTTAATGGAGAATGGAATCAATTTTTAGAGGTAGTATAGCCAGAGAAAGCTTAAAGAAATCTGTGAAGGGCAGGATGATCTTACTAGCAAGGAGAAAAAGTAGTTATGCATGCTCCTCTCCCAGTGAACCTTGTTTGGATGAGAAATGACCAGCAGTGATGAGCAAAAACAAGATGATTGAGATAGCTATGCCAGCAGACCAGTGGATGTTCTGATAGTAACAAAGATGGGAACCGCAGAGGGGCCGAGGAGCAGAATTACGTTTAGCAGAGAAGATGGAGGAAGAATTCCACAGGGCAGAACCTCACTTTCTCTTTCATTTTTTTCTAGCCTCTCTTAGCAATTAAGTTTCAAAAAGCAGCCATTGTCTCATATAGTCCTTCATACAGACTGTGGATTGGCTTTTTCAAACAAATTTCATCAAAGGCTTCTTGGAAACTGTTGTAGCTATCTCATCCACCTCATTACAGTTTCTAAGCAGATTGTGATATTTGCCTATTCCTCTGTTGCTAGATTTTGGTCACTGAATTTAGAAGTGTTCAGAGCAGGAAGTGAATTGGTACTGTTAAGATTGAGAGATACCATTATTGAGTTTCTGTTGATCCATGACACTCAGTGCCTTGGTTCATCCTTTTTAGCCTAGATGTCACCCTAAAGATACTGCTTTATTTTTAATTCTTTATCAAGTCTATGTGAAGTAAACATCTCTTGCTTTTAATGCTGTGGCATAAACTTTAAGGGATTCTCTTATTTTAGTATTTATTTATTTATTTGTGTGTGTGTGTGTGTGTGTGTGTGTGTATGCGTGTATGCGCCTCTCTGTCTTTGTGTTGATGTGTCTGATTTTATGCATACAGAAGAGGGAGTTGGGTATCCTTGTCTATCAGTGTCTGCTTGTTCCTTTGAGATGAAGGTCTCTCCTTGAACCTGGAGCTTGTGTTTAGGTTAGGTGGAAGCCAGCAAGCCTCTGTGATCCTCCTATCTTCACCTTGCTTGAAGCTGGAGTTATAGGTGTTTGTGGGGCCATCTGGCTTATTACATGAGTGCTAAGATCTGAACTCCAGTGGTTCATGATTATGGAGCAAGTGCTCTGCAAGCTACTGAGCCATCTCTCCAGTCCCATGGAGTCTGTTCTTTTTCTTTTCGTTCTTTTTAATGTGTATGCGTGTATTGCCTGCATGTAGGCTGTCAGATCCCCTGGAACTGGAGTTAGGGACAATTGTTAGCTGCCATGTTGGTGCTGGGATTTGAACCCGGGTCTTCTGCAAGAACAGCCAGTGTTCTTAACCGCTGAGCCATCTCTCCAGCTCCAGATTCTGTTCTTAATGAAGGGGGAAAATATCTTATTTAAAACTTCATTTCAGTACATTTTTTTCTTTCTTGTTTCTTCATGGTACACTTACTATCCAGTAGTACTTTTGACATTTTTCAGTGACTTCACTGCATGTGGAATAATTTCATTGAAATTAAGCATTTTGGCATGGCGTTATTTAGTACACAATCCTTTTATGATTGACATTAGCAGTGGGTCAGCAAGAGCATATTCCTTCTCTCCTTCTAAGATGCCTGTGGTGAAGCTGGGCAGCTTATTTCAGATCCTAGTTAATTTGCAGACATTACCTAGAGATGTTTCTCCTGATACCTCTAGGATTACTTAACAGCAGTTGAAGAGGAAAGTCCCAGATGACTTTGTTGTTCTTTTGAAAAATTACATTTTATTTATTTAATTCAGAAGAAATTTATCTTAAAGACAGAAAAATTGAGTCCCAGTTGTTGATTTTTAAAATACTTCATTTCTGTTCTTGGGCTAGTACTATGATTACAGGTACATGCCATCAGCCACCATGCTTGGCTTTTTATGTGAATGCTGGAGATGCGAACTCAGATGCTCATACTTGGACAGCATCCATTTTACCTATTGAGAATTCTCATTGGCCTCATACTGCCATTTTAAAACCCCATCTTGTTATTTCACAGTAGTCTACTTAAAATATTTTATTTATTATTTTTATTTTATGTGTATGGGTGTATTGCCTGCATGTATCAGAGTGCACCTGTGTTGTGCAATGCCATGGAGGTCAGAAGAGGGCGTCGGATTCCCCTGGAACTGGAGTTAAGGATGGTTCGTAGCTGCCAGGTAGGTGCTGGGAATTGAATCTGGGTCCTCTGCAAGAGCAGTCAGTGCTCTTAACCACTGAGCCATCTCTCTGGCCCCTACAGTAGTCTACTTAAAAAGTGCTTAAGTATGGCTAGAGAGATGGCTCAGCAGTTAAGAGTACTGACTGCTCTCGCAGAGGACCTGAGTTTGGTTCCCAGCATCCACATGGCAGCTGAGAACTGTCTGTAAATCCAGTTCCAGGGGATCTGACACCTTTTTGGGGCCTCTGTAGGCATTGCAAGACACGAGTGCTCTTATATATATATATATATGTAGGTAAAATGCTCACACACGCAAAATAAAAAAATAAGTAAATAAAAATTTAAAAGCTTCAGTATCTCTTTTCGTCTCCAAGGTCAAATTAAAGCTCTTTAGAAAAACATGCATGATGATTTGGTGTGCTAGGGCTTTATCTTGCTGCCACAGCTTTATGTCTTTGCTGTTTTGGGGGGATTTTTTTAACCTTAGCACGTGAAGTTACTTCCTTTTCCTCTGATAATGTTAATGTGTCTTATATGCTGCTTTTATTGTGTGAGATATCCTCTTCAGGTTTTCCCTCTACTGTCCCTGTCTTTGTTTACTTATCTCTAGTACTCTTCCTCCTGTTCACCTGAGCTGTCCCTGGCATAGGTTCCCATTAGCATAGCGTTGTTTCAGGCTTCCCCATCATACGATGGTCTTCTGGGCAGGGATCTGGTCTTTCAGCTTTCTCTCTCTCTCTCTCTCTCTCTCTCTCTCTCTTTTAAGTATTTTATTTATTTATTTTATGTGTATTCATGAATTGCCTGCATGTATGTAAATGCACCTGTGTTGTGCAAGCTTTGTATCTCTCATATCAATCATGGTACCTTGAAAAGATGGTCAACAAATGATCTCCCGATAAATGAAATTCAAAGTGAGGATTTAGAAATACTTCTAATGATTCTTTTCTCTTGTTTGGCTAAATACAGAGAAAATTACAGTGAAATGTTAGGGAAGATGAGAGAAGATCTTTATAAACAGAATTAACTCAGAAAAGCAAACATTAGTCAGCTGTGTTCATCTTCATATATGTCAATAATTCCCCCTAGCACAGACACAAACATGCTTTGAATTGCTTTGTACTCATAATTTTCTTGTGGCAAATGGCATTTGCTTTTATTTGGTCCAATGGAGAAGAAATACTCCCTATGTAATTCTTACAAATCTCAGGAGATAATATGTTGAGAGTTTCAAGTTCCCAAATGCATTTAAGACCACCATAGACTTACATTTTTATCTTAAAAAAGTCTTAAAAGTACACTTTTGAACTGTGTCTTAAAATCCTGTAGTACTGTCTTAATTTTGATAATTTCTGGATAGAGCATACTATTACATGAATCTTGATTCTGGACTATCTATTACAATCTGTGGTATTGTTGTATTACTGATCATGACAAAGGTGTAGATCCAGAGAGTGGGGTAGGAGATGATGACATTGAGACATAGATGAAAGTATAAAACTAAACACTCTTAGAGGAAGTGTCCTATGATTGTTATAGTAAATACTCCTATTTGGAAAAAATTTGGATGAATGAAAAGCTCAGAATTTTTTTTTTCTTTTTCTAAAGAGCCAAACTGACATCAGATGCTGAGAAGGAATCAGTGATGATGTTTGGACAGAACCTTCGCCAGCTTCTTTTAACAAGCCCTGTTCCTGGACGTACCTTGATGGGAGTAGATCCTGGCTACAAACATGGTTGCAAACTGGCTATCATTTCTCCTACTAGTGAGTTCTTTTTCAGCTTTTCATATAAAAGGTGTTTGGCTAATCATAAATTTCACTGAATAGATATCATAAAGATTTAGAAATAATGTTTTGTTTTGAGCTTAGAAAATGTTTTCCTATAGGGCTATGGGAGAGATTCAAAGTTCCTATTTCTCTTATTATTGATCAAAACCTCACAGGCATTTATCACATCATTTATTCCCCTTCCCTGTGTGTCAGTGCAGATTCTGAGGATTAACTAGGCTCATCCTTGAGCTCTTTCTTTTGAGACAGGATTTCATGTAGCCCATGCTGGTCTTAGACTTTCTACATAGCCAAGGAAAGCATTGAACTGTTGCTCATTCTGCCTCCATCCCCTGATTGCTGGGATTACAGGCCTGTGCCACCATTCCTTTATGTAGTGCCAGACTTCACACCAGGCCACACTAGACAGGCATTATCTAGACATCTGTATCCCCAGCTCCTCAGACCTAAACTCTTCTCTCTAATCAGCCTCAATTTGTTGTGATGCATTTAATTCTTTACATATCTTAGGTATCTGTATTAGTCAGGGTTCTCCAAAGAAACAGAACCAGTAGAATGAATATAGATGTATAGAGATTTATCAGCTTAGCTCACAGGGTAGAGTCTGAGTAGTCCCAACAATGGCTGCACCACACTGGAGAGGCTGAGAATCTGTAGTTGCTCAGTCTACAAGGCTGGATGTCTCAGTAGTCCCAACCTGGTGCTGAAGGTCTGACGAATTCCAAAAGATCAGCTAGTCTTCAGTCTACAGCAGCAAGACGAACTCCCTAGCGAGAGAGAAGGCAAGGAGCAAGAAGCCCCGCGTTCTCCTCTGCCTTGGCCTTTAATACCGGCTGCCATCAAAAGGTAACACCCACATTTAGGGTGTGTCTTCCTGCTTTAGATGATCCAATCAAGAAGATCTCTTTCATTTCCGTTAATCCCAGATCCAATCAAGTTGACACCCAGGATTAGCCATCACAAGTATTATCTTTATATACTTTATAAAAGTGTGCATTTTATAATATACTGTGCATATTTTTTAGTAAAACTATTGGTTTAAATGGGTATGGGTGGTTCATACCTATCATCTAAGCACTTGGGAGGCTGAGGCAGGAAGATCACCTAGAGTTTGAAGCAAGTCTGGGCTGTTTTAGTCCTTTAGTGTCTGATAACCCAAAATAATCATATAGGTTCACAACACATAACCACTTAACACATCTCAATTACACATTCAAAAAAGAATAACTCAAGTATCTGCTTAACATATGTGTATACATGCCCAAGCCTATTCTTAACCAAATAGGACAAAAATATGCATGTTAATTACAATCCATGTTTCTGCAACTGGTCACGTGGCCTAAGTTGGTATTGTAACTACCTTCCTCTACGACCCATTCTGTATTTCCTCCACCATCAGCAAGCACCTCTGCAGGTCTTGGCACTTTCCCTGGAAGAGTGACCCATACTTTCATCCCTGAAGGGTCTGGGCCATTTATTGTCCTGCCTGGATTGGGTTGTTGCAATTTCCCATTGACCTTAGTCACAGGACTTGGTAACACCAAAAGTCACCCTAAGGAATCTCCTGCCTTCCAGATATAATCTTCCTTACTTCCATTGTGGAGAACCAGTCCAATTTCCCCCTGGTAGTCTGGGTCAATCACCCCTCCTAATACTGTTATTCCTTTCTTAGCCTGCTGACTTAAGGGCAACAGAAGCCCAAAGTGTCCAGCGGGAAGTCTTAGCTTCCAGTTCAATGGAATGTTTGTTGTCTCTCCTGGCAAAAGCACTTCCTCTTCTGGAACCAAAACATCCAAGCCAGTAGAGTGCAAAGTCAAGGGTACAGGAAGCAAAAATTTTCGTAGTGGGTCACCAGGGGTGATTGTGAGTGGAATCATTCCCACTTCCACCCCTTGATTCCTGGACCCATGAATCCTAGCTATAGAGAGAAACTGTGCCATATATTGGACGCTGATTCAAAGCATACACTGCCTTCTGGAGGACCCTGCCCCAGTCCTCCAGGCTATTGCCACCTGATTGGCACTGTAACTGTGTCTTTAAGAGACCATTTCATCGTTCTGTCAAGCCAGCTGCTTCAGGATGGTGGGGAACATGGTAAGACCAGTGGATTCCATGACCATGGGATCACTGTCGCACTTCTTTGGCTGTGAAGTGAGTTCCCTGGTCAGAAGCGATGCTGTGTGGAATACCATGACGGTGGATAAGGCATGCTGTAACTCCCTGGATGGTAGTTTTGACAGAAGTATTATGTGTAGGAAAGGCACATCCATAACCAGAATAAGTATCTTTTCTTGTAAGGACAAAACGTTGTCCCCTCCAAGATGGAAGTGGTCCAGTGTAGTCAATCTGCCACCAGGCTGCAGGCTGGTCGCCACGGGGAACAGTGCCATATTGGGGGCTCAGTGTTGGTCTCTGCTGTTGGCAGATCTGGCACTCAGCCACAGCTGTAGCCAGGTCAGCTTTCATGAGTGGGAGTCCATGCTGTCGAGCCCATGCATGACCTCCATCTCTGCCACCATGGCCACTTTGTTCATGGGCCCATTGAGCAATGACAGGGATAGCTGAAGAAAGAGGCTGACAATCCACAGAGCGGGTCATCCGATCTACTTGATCATTGAACTCATCTTCTGCTGAACATCACTTTTTGATGAGCATTTACATGAGACACAAGTATGTTTACATCCTTTGCATCTATGCACATACTTCTTCCCCAAATGTCTTTCTCACCAATTTTCCAATCATGTTCCTTCCAAGTTCCTGACCATCCAGCCAAACCATTGGATACAGCCCATGAATCAGTATATAATCGCACTTCTGGCCATTTCTCCTTCCAAGCAAAATGCACGACCATGTGCACTGCCTGAAGTTCTGCC